AAACAGGCGCAAATCCCTCTCATGGGCGAGGTTGTGAAAGAGTTAGGGCACATTGGGATGTGCTTCGTAATCATTGGTCTTCGGGCAAGCGACTGGCTTCTTGTATGCCTCTTGGATAGGCCCGATTAGGGTTACGACTTTCATGAATCGTAGTTGTTTAACTTGGATGAAAAATTATAGAAACAGCCTGACGTATGCTATGAAGAATGGCTGGACGTCAACGCCTGTGACATTGGGTTGGGTATGCAGAATCATCAGCAGAACGACTAATGCACAATGAGCGAATTTTTCTAGATGGATTTAAGAGAAATGCACGAAGAGAGTAAGGTACTTCATCCAGAAAAAACATGCCAAACATTTTCTCTTCGACAGAAAAAGCGGGAAACGCACGACCGACCCCAAATGGGTATCTGAGGCCTGCGAAAGATAGTATGCAGGCCTACATTCTGTGAGTGTCCTCATTACATTCGTTATAGGAGCTGTGTAACTATTAACAGCCACTTACCGACATGTTCTCACGGGGTACATCTTTTCCATCTTTTGCACAAAACAAATCCCTCCGAAAATTGGGGCTAGGCAAGGTCCGTCCAGAGATCCGGGAAGAAACGTTGCTCACTATAACGAAGCACTTTTACCTGGTGCATCGTCAGGGCAACCGTAATACGCTTGGAAGAAAGTACATGTTATGCTCTTCTACAGAACCGTTACCGCATAAATCCCGATAACCAATAGCCGACGACCCATTAGCCTCACTGGCATACTGTGCAGTATGATGGAGCGCGTTCGAAATCGGGCCATCCTAGACCACCTCGCTGTCAGCATTTTATATCCACATCACAATACGGTTTCCTCACTGACTGTACTTTCACAAAAAACTTGCTCGTACGCATGGGCAGCATTACCGAAGCGAAGGACGGTGAACTACTCACGTCAGACGCTATATAGTCTAACTTTCGAATGTATTCGATGTAGTGACACATGTTCTACTGCGCCACAAATCTGAGGCTTTCACTATTCGAGAAGAATTTCTACTCATGACAAAAGCGATCCTATTGGATAGAATGTTCAGTCGGGAACTAGGATCCATTTAGTCCTTTTATTGGAGTTCTTGAGGGATCTATTTGAGCGCCATTCCTGTTCCTGATCCACGTCAGCAACATCCAAAGCGCGCTATCGCGCTCATGTATACCTTTGGGGAACGATTTGAAAAAACAGAACTCTACAAATGAATATAGGCCCTTCACATCAGTGTTCGTCTGGCTAACACCTCCAGGTGACAAAAGGAGTAAAAATATCCCGCTCGGGGGTGATCCAGCGAAAGCTTTTATCGTGCGTGATGAGAATGTGCCAGAAGACATTTTGAAGAAAAAAAGATTTAGGTATAAGGCTCTCTTCCAAACTGTCCTTCTCACTCCAATGGGAAATATCGTTTCAAAAGGCATTCCTTGTTCTACGGAGGGCTTGGATTGCCTGCTCTCGTATCGATCGTATGGACATCCAGATATTAAATGAGGTCCGCAATGCACCGCCTCTTGAATAGTCCGACGGAGTTTTCTAATAACGACGGAATAAGTGCATAACTTCCAGTGACCGTATCCAAAGAACTGCCACAAATTTGTTTGCCAGCCTCAAACCCGTTGATTTTGGAACGCATCTCGGGGCACTCTACGTGCTTTTCCTTAAGTACCGTCGACCCCCGTCTGGCCAACAGGTTTTTTTTCATTGCTGTCCCATCTAGTACACGGCGGACACATGAAAGAACTTTTGGGCTCGGAACGCATATTTTATTGGACAATAATTGTTTTCGCTACGGATAGTTGGTGCATGGAATAACCTTTTAAAACGGTTATTCACATTGCATCCAGTGCCCACTCCGAGGCTTATTTAGATGACATTTTAGGAAAGTCGCGCCGGCATGCTTGCTTCTCCGAGCTGAGAACTTGAAGGTTGGTGCCGCATTCTTTTTCGCCTGTCTTCCAGTTGAACTGAAGGCGACGAACGAAAAGAACACACCTAGCACAGGACGGTTGGACGAAAGTCTCTATCCTGTGTATTTACCCGTGAACACTTTTATCAAGTAAGGTCCTGTGTTTCATTCCGTTGACAGATTTGCATAAAAGGAGCATTTTATGGCACTTCGAGTTTGTTCTCTGAAATATTTTCCGCACACAACCAGAGTGACCCAGATTGGGACTCTGTAACGAAGTCCGGCGCATCTGCAAATCTTAAGCGAGCTATTCTAGACAATCTTAATTCAAACTGGTTATATCATCAGCCCAACACGGCTTTCTACCACGCCGTTTCTGCGTGAAAAATATGCTCGCGCTTACGGACAGCTTAACCCAAGTCAAAGACGAAAGATTCTTATCAGATGCTATATTTTTTACTTATCAGTAGCAACTGATCGGGTTCCACACGTTCCGCTGCTCCCCGAAATCGAGTCTAAAGGGATTCAAGGGAACACCCTACGTTGAATTAAGGCGTTCCTGTCAGACAGATCATTCCGAGTGAAGGTAGTTTTGTCCTACTGTTTTCCAGTGTGGGTCTCCATCGCAGTTCCTAAAGGCTCTTTTTTGGAACCATCACTGTTTCTGATATGTGTCAACGAACTTCCACATGTTCTTGCAAGTCCACGTCTGCTTTTTGTGGGCGACTTTAAATCCTGGAGTTCCGATGCCTGCGTCCTCCAAAAAGATGTAGGCGCTGAAAATCAGGGTCGTTGGAATGACATCTTCATCTGAATGACGAATGGTGCGTCCATATGTTATTTATAGGAGACTGAGCGAATGTCCTTATTAGCATGGTGGGAAAGGGCCAGAAGATATTATTAGGATAGACGTTAAAGACTTCGAGTATCTGGCCCACGTCATACATATCCTTCACATTGCGCCATGAGAAATCGACCCTTAAAACATTCACCGTTTTGCGTTTCACGTCGGAAGATTCGGCGCACCTTCTCCCATATTACCCGCATGGATATCCAAATGATCTATGGGGCCCCATCGTCAGGCTGCTCCTTGAAGATGCCAACCAAGCTGTCTACTCAGGATGCACGAAGGGCGTAACCCTCATTGAGCGTGTTCAGCGAGGTGCTACGAAAATGGATGCAGCCTCAAATCCGTGGACTATGAATTGCGTCTCGCGGCGCTTGACCTCTTTCCCATGGGGTATCGTCGACTTCGAGGAGACCAAATTCTTACCTATGCCCTGTTTGAACAAAGCCTGACCAGCAGATTTTTCACCGTTGACCCAGCAAACCCATGGCGGGGACATGGTAAGACTTTTAAGCTCGGAGCGCACATATTCACTGGGTAACATTAATTCTCATTTCGGGCAGTAGGTACGTGGAAAAGCTTCCTCCAACAGCCGTTCACGCTCCTTCTAGAACCCAGTGCAAAGCAGTATTAGACACTAACTTATGCGAGTGCTCGCGCTGGAAAGCTCACTGGGAACTTAAAGAGCAGTGTTACAAACTTTATTCACCTATGCCTTTCAAGAGAACAACAGCCGCCTAACGACAAGAACAAAACCGACCTGCGAAAATTGGAGAAAGACTCGATCCTGTGTATCAATCCGTGAATCCGCTAGTTATTTGATATGTGCAGTAATGTGGTAGCACCTCTTATTTGGTCCTCGGCTTCGTGTTACGATCACTGTAGTACACCAATGTGGCATGAGGCAATTTTTTGGAAACAGAACAGTTTTTCGCCGCGATTTTCATTGGTTTATCGCAGAATTTCTCTCACAGCTTCTGAGTCTTCATGGTAACGCTGGGAGAACCGAACTGAAAATGTTTGATTCTCATTGGCCCATATGCTGACTAATTTGGCGTGATCTACTTCTGTCCGTAGCCGTGTCGCGGGATGTCCGTTCGGCTTGTGATGGCCGGACATTTCGGACGGCTCCCCTCGGACACAAGTGGTTTCTTTATAAACTACTGGATCTGGCAAGAACTGAATCCGCTTAAGCACATGGTGGTCCCCACATGTGAGACAAGCTTAAACACCTCTGGCCCTGGGGTTAGATGTCAATAACTTGGTGTCTCCCTCCCAAATGGTCGGGCTCCAACAATATTCATTTCACCGTGCTTAAGCCTGATAATGAAGTTGTTCAGGTGCATAGTGGTATTTTCTGGGTTTTGGAGCATTCGAATGCTAAGGAGTTGTCCAGCTGAAGAACGTGGCGGTTTATAATTTGCCACTCGAACCGAATGGATAAACGAATGCTGGGGAGTGTCAAGCCGTCCTGGATGTCAGAAAACCGCATCGCACACTACTTGACATGGGGGTGATGTTACAAACTGTGATGGCATTTTTTATGATAACATGCACTACTGAAAAGTGAACGATAGTCCACTTGCTTCTTCTAAACGTTGGTCGATATCTGAATGAAGAAGCCTGATTCACAGGCCCTAAGACCCTCTCTTCTAATATACATCCACTTCGTGTCTATCCCGAAGTCACAAGAGTTTCTGCTACTGTGTCGTGAAAGTGTTATATCCCTGAATCTCAAGGGATGTATATATCAGCCTATTTTGTTGTATGGCGGTGGAACTGAGACGTCTTCAGGTGTCTCAGAACCATAGCTCGTGTCGGCGAACTCATAACGAGGCTATCAGAAGGCGAGTCTTCGGTTGTGCACCGGGGACTTCCATTGGAGAATTTGTCCAGCACCAGAAGTTGCATTGCTTAGGGCATGTATTGCGTATGCCTAACCATCGTTTGCCGAAGACACTCCTGTTTTCCGGGCCAAACTCAGAGTGACGGAAGCAGAGGGATTGCCAACACTTGAGCTGGCAGAGGGATGTGGAAGAGATTGCGAAACTTGGTGCTGTCGGTGTGACTCGCATTCCAGGATGGGGACCGCGGGATCCTCACTGCTCTTGGTTGGAGACGCTGTAAGGTATGACTGCTAATCGAAGTCAGAGGTTTCCGTGCTATCAGCTTCTATCCAGACTACCTGAATGAGTGCCTGAAGGCGTGAGCATCGGAATTAGTGTGTTAAGCTTGCATTAAATCTTGTCCCATCCACTTTTTCACAAGAGTGCTTTCAAATAAATCATGATTGCACGTCAGTGAAGTATCACATGTCATACTGTCGATGATGATCCATGTATTAGAGAAATCTGTTGGCCTCGAAACGTCAACACTCTTGGGGGGTGACCCGAGCCGTTTTCGTGGTCTGGATATTATCCACCCAATAGTCTTCAACGAGTGAGCCGACGAGCTAGCTTTCTTGTGTCAGTTCCCATTTTCATCCCCTGGAGAAATGCGACACCCCACTCCATATGTAGCAGGCGATAAGCACACTGCCCCCAGCTATCATCCTATTGGCATCACGTACATGTGCTGGTTAATAGGGAAAACTACCAACAGGCCCTCGCCTAATTTTGCCTCTCCCACCCAGCTCAGCGCAGTTCCACTTTCCCCACATTCCTGTCCTACGAACACTTAAATCAGTTCTCTTGGAAATACCGCGAACCTCAAGACTACTTCATATACCCCTTCAGTTTAATCTCTTATAAGAAATAAACTTCCCACTGTTGCATTCTTATGGTACACGGAAGGTGTGTTGATGATGACATGGCAGCCGCGCAACGCGAGTAGTTGAATGTTGTCCAACCCTAGGCAGCAGCAAGCTAACAATAGCAAACCATTCCAGCATAAATACAAACGTCAACCGCGACAAGGGTCTCACCACTCAGCTGTTCTACTCCGGTTAGTTCTTTTTTCTCCCTTACTATTCTTAGGCGCCTCTGCTCCGAATTAATCCCTTTAAACCATTAGTCACACCTCAGCATCCATACTCCACCGATTGTCACCTTTCGTGGGAACATCACAAGTGCTTACGCTAGTTTTTTGGCATTCTCCTGCATTGCATTTAACTGTTTCCAGAATTCAGTTCCCTCTTCCTCTGATTCTAGGTAGAACCTACTGATGAATCCCTTCGAGAAGCGGGACAAAATACCCCGCACCCCACCTGGTCACTCTTTTATGGAGCGATCTTTGAATGATTTAGACCAAACCGGCGTGGGCGACTGTTCTTTGTACGATGAATCCGGAGTGCGTAGCTCTTGTGTACCGGAAAACCTGAAGCGTTATACCCTTACCTTCAATCCCAGTCCTAAAGATAGGTAAGTGCTGCTCCACTGGTTTCATTCTACCTTTCCTTTCCGTAATATGTGGGGATCATCTTTGCTCACCACCCAGTGATTTCACGCATAGTAGGGTTATGATGGCCTTTCCTTGTTCTTTTTGTCTGGTGTCTTTGTTTCGTAGTCGTCCATTGGCTCCGAGTCAACGCTATTCATGGATGCTCAATGGCCAGCTTGCGATGTTCACGTCCTCTCCAGTTCGCAGCGAGAAGACATGTGCTATCGTCTTGGTGAGTTGACCTGCTCCAATCATTTGGTGATTTGACCGGTAGCTGCTTGATTTGTTTGTACGGATAACTTCACCCTCGCTTGCTTTGCCGTGTTTTGTCACTCCCCATGTTGTGTAATTCCCGCGGAGAGTGAACCAGTCCAAAGGATATAAACAACAGTCGTGCTTGTGTCGCCATCAGGGAAGCATCCTTTCGTGTTGCTCATTTGTGCACAAGGTGATCAGATCCGCCTAGTCAGTTTTTATCCACTCATCATCATCATTATCATCATCGACAGACAGACATCAGTGTTCAACACCGATGCTTCAGTACCGTCTTTAGGAATCAGTTTTCCGACTTGTTTGGTCTGCCGGTCGTATCTGTATGCCGCAATGGCACAGAGGGTATGGCAGGCTTCGTGGTCAGAGATGCTTGTTATGTGGCGTCAAATGCACTTGTAAGCAGTCTAACCAGGATTGTGACACCTCTAATTCCCGAGTAGATTCGCATCAGTTGAATACACGGTAGAGTACCGTAACAGAGTATTACAAATACAGGCAGTTCAACTTGCAGTTGAAGGTGTTTCCACCAAAACGAGCTGGCGAAATCGGGTGTTCGCGGTCTGGCGGGGCTGCTGCTTTATCGGTTGTCCGGGTAGGGGACCCGGCTCAAATATGATTCCATAGTGGCAATGGCGAATCAACATAGAGTCGACATCTGCGAAAGCTTTGCGACCGACCGGCGTGCTACAGCACCTAATATTCGAAACACCCAACAAGCCGGTTTATCCTCACACAGCTGGTTTAGATGTATCATTATAATTACCGTGTCACCCGAAATGAGATAAAACCAGGTTGCTCAAGCTCAAACGGGTCTTCCCATTTCCGCAAATAGCAGGCCGTTCATTCTTCAATACCCTCACTAATGATGGTGTAACTTACCCCTTTTGCTATCCCCAGTATTCCCACAAACATTATGTCCAACTAGGTTCTTGCCTTTCGATTTTGGACCTACCATTACTAGTTCGGTACTTCTGAGTAATTAATCTTCGCCTTTCCGCATTCATTTTTTCCGTAGACCAAAATTCCATCTCGTGATGAGGTTGATGATAATAAGGAGAACCTCGCAATTCAATCCTCCGTTGTTGAGCCTGGGACGGTACGGCCTCGTGGAAAGCGTCGAAAAGACATCTCGCAACGGAGTGGTGACCAGGATAGCATTTTTCCTACTCCGAATGATTCGTCACTCGACACAGCGTCAGCTGAGCCGGCAACCATCAGAAGGCTACGGTCGCGTGACGTAAGTGTGGATGGCTCCACACTTTCTATCGCTGCGCATCCTCGATCAAAACGGCGAAAACAAGCGGATTCACTCGGTTCGAGTGATTCCAGGTGGGTACGATGTTTGTTCACGTAAGCCCACCTTGCATCCTAATTCGTATACACGCGTTGTAGGTAGCTCTTTGCTAGAACGACAGACAAATCCACGTGGATATCTGGAGTTGCGGTGGGCCCCGTCTACATGAACGGCTGTCGGAACGACGGGAACTTTTGACGACGGTTGTTTCAGATGAGTGGGCGACGTACTGAGTGTTGTGAATTCAAACGTGTTTCATTATGAGGGCATATACATTCAGCTCCTAATTTAGGAACAACTTAACTGATAAGTTTAGGGCAATTTTAATCAGGAATTGCAACAAGAAGCGTGGTGACTTTTCTCGGATATTGATGAAGAGTGGTTAATATATAGAAGTGGTTGCAACAGAAAGGTTTTTCGTCAGAATTAGATTCAGTCTCCAAATCGAGTGGCCCGGTCATTTAATCACAACGCACGCCTGATGGTATAATTAACACGGTTCACCGGTCTTCGTAGAGCGGGTCTTTTACGTTAGANCCGGTCATTTAATCACAACGCACGCCTGATTGTATAATTAACACGGTTCACCGGTCTTCGTAGATCGGTTCTTTTACGTTAGACTCTCTGGCAGTACTGAATAATAACAGTATCCGTGCTTTCGTATAAGACCATTCACTGGCGATGTATCCTGCCTCCTCATATATTACTATTTGGTTCGAAACGAAATATGAAGCTGTCGCGTTTCTTGGGCTATTTTCGAGCTACCAGGTGAATTCCTCGTCCGTCGATTTTACTGGCGCGATAATATGAAGCCAAGTAGTCTGCTTATTTAAGCTACGATTACTTTGCCGTTTTCAGGCCATAGTCAGTCCACCATAGGTCCGTGGTGCCATCGCGTCATATCTGAGTGACGGTTTGTTTACTGCGATCACATCTTGTAGGCGAACGATAATGCGTCACATAGCATACTTCTCCAAAGGTTCCTGGCTAGCGCTGGATTGCGCAAAGTCACTGGTGATGCCAACTTTGACTGTACCGAATCATACGGAGAGGTAGTGGGGACCACTAGGAGAACTAAAGCTGTTTAAAATCACCACCATGGGTTCATCTCCCCCCTTTTGGTATGGTGATTCATTTGGACATAGCTTTATCGGTTAAGTACTGAAACAGAACGAAAAAGGATCCCCTAAGTTGGTACGCTTCATGCTTAGAATGAGAATATCACGAACATCGCATATTTGCCTCGCGGGCAGTATGATAGTTAAGTGAAGTCCATTTAGTCTTCTAAAACTCTGTTTCTGCAACCACTAACCGCTACCCAACTACGTGCTGATGATGTCACCTCGATTGTTGACGAACGGCTTACGACGAAATTGCCAGTCCATCGAAATCAATCATTATAACTACCTGTTTCGCAAAGCTCGGTGTCACTTGAGGTTAAATATACTAATCTCTCGGTTCCTCCATTTTCCTGTATTTCACTTTCAGCTATTCGTCAACAGACCTTCAGCAACGTTCGACAACCAAATCAAACACACGGCGAGGCAGGCGCAACGCCGTTCACAGGAGCGTATTGAAACCTCAAACTCCTCTCCATTCTACCGCTGTAGAGCCCATGGTAGGTGAATGCTTGAAAGTTTTTAGGCTCACTAAAAAATTGTTTGGCTGTAGAACCCTTTCGGTGCCCAGCTGCCATGGCATGAAGGCTGGGATACTGTCAGGTTTCCTAAGCCTGGACAGGAGTAAGTTCGGACCACAGGCCTTCCGGTCCTTAAGCAGACTGTTTAACCACTGGGCCATCTCGAGCGTAGGACTTATTGCCTTTGCTGCCGGTGACGGGAGCGGTTGTGTTTGTTTGGATGGCCACACTACCAACACATTAGCTAAGGAAAATGGCGATTCGCGTGTTCTAGTGAGACGATCCCGTAGCTGTCCGAGGTACTCAACCTCACTTATCATTCACAGTTTAAGGAGTGATTAAACTAGTTCAGCAGTGGTGCGTTTCTCTGGCCCAATGTAGCGCCTGACGCATCTCGACACATATTAGTTGATAGGCGTCGTTTAGCTTTCCACTTCGCCTTTCAATGCACAGTGAAGCGTTATTACAGTGCATAACTTGAGGACTGTAAAATGGTCTGCCAAAACTTTTTCGCTATGATTGGTCAAGGCGCGAACTCATTGACCGCACAGGCCGTGGTTCGAACCCAACCCCAGCCCTCGATTGCTTTTGTCCAGGCTTCAGGAACCTGATAGTATCTCATCCCTCGTGTTTCCTTTTAGTGGATTGGCAGTTAGGCATCCAGAAAGTGTTACATGTGAACGAACGACAGTGTCCTCTGGTTGGACGCTGTGGCTCTCAGCGTTGTCTTCACCATGTTGGTCGACCGTTCTCTCTTTCTCACAGCACATAGTGACGCCATGTAAGAACCGTGATGTTTGCTGTAGCTCCTACACTTTCTATTATGATGCGAGGTTCTGTCCAGGAGAGGCCGCATCGATGAAGCTACCACTCAATTAAACTTCCCGCCACTGCTCGAGTTTATCAAAACAGTGAAAAAACACCTATCACCCAAAAGATGTCTGCATTACCCACCCAAAAGTGCACATAGGTCGTTTACCATGAGGTTACATATGAAGGTAGGTTAAATGGGCTTAGGGAGGTTCCAATATGTCAATGGTCGGTTACTCTGTTTGACTACGTGGCTGAAAACTCCCTATGTCCATACCACGCCAAAGTTTGCCAAGTCATATGCGTCATGCGCTCCAGAGCTACCAGTTGACGTAGCTCTGTATTGAGGAAACTGCGAGTGGAGCTATGCATTGGGTGGACGCGCTGTTGACGACGCGACTGGGCTATGTCTGACAATGTTTCCAACCATTGATGTGTCCCGCCTCGGAGTCCTCATCCAGTGGGTGGCACAACCACCAACCCATCGCTACGCACCACTACACTCCCTAACAACGCACTGATGATATCACCTCGATTGGTGATGAAACGTTTGCAATCAAATTGATCAGCTCGGTGAACAAACCAACGACCATCTACGCTACCCGAGCTACCACGTCTACAGAACTCACTGGAAGACTTTTTACGTCCTCGGCGGGCATCGACCAGGTTTCTGATTCATATAGTAATTGGAGCGCACCGCAGCATTGTAAACGCGACCCTTGATGAATAAGCTGAGTTCATGCCTACGCCACAGGCGAGGCGGTTTCAGGAAAGTTGCTCTCAACTTCCCAATCTAAGTTGAGCTATCATCTTCCGCAAGACCACCGGGATCGATGCAAGTACACAAGTACACACAGCGTCCGCTTACCCTTTTTGAAGATAGGGATAACTGTTGACATGTCATATTCTACACTTCCTCTTCGCCCCGTAACACACCAATGAACATGGTTAAACGGGTCTTCAGGGATTCTCCGCCTTCTTTGGAGAGGGCTGGATATAGACTGTTCGGTTGTGATGGTCTCTCACGTGTCAGTACGGATATTTCGTGCTTTATTTCTTCCATTGGGCGATTATGGTTTATGTTGCAATATCTCTAGAGGCTGCACTTTCTCCACGGGCTGGGTTGCAGGGGGCCAGCTAAACTCTTCCTCGAAATGTTCGGCCCGTCTTTCCAGTCAATGTTACTGTGAGCCACCTTTTTCACCTATCGTTTCACTGACCAGTGTCAGTTGTTATTGGACATGACTGTTTCCGGTAGAAAAAGCCTTCTCCATCTTCCGAGCTTTCGATGCTCGCTTTCGGCCTTTTCTTTAAGCTGTTCCATATTTGGCATTTGAGGAATTTGTGTGCACTGTCATACTCTTTGCATGCTGGTATTTATTCCATGGAATCAATCAAGACTAGCGATCTCGAAGGGATTCACTTATCATTTGGTCTTGTCCGAGAAGTTGGACAGATATTGAACATCACTAACATGGCTTCTTCCATATTTTGCCATGCTTCATTCACGTGGTCGATACCAGTACATTTTACTGTGGAGAGTTTTTGAGCTAGCTCAAATCGATACCGTTAACTATGGTATTTCTTCGAAGATATTGAGTTGCAATACTTCTTACTGACTTGCGAGGGCCTGAAGGGAAACAAATTGTCGGGAGTGATCAAAATCAGTTTGTGTGCCCCAGGAGGAACGGCAATCTTGAATCGTGGCTTTCTACCGGTGGCTGATGGCCACGTGATCCAGCTGGGTTCATGGTTGATCTGCAGTTGGTGGCTGCCAGGTTATGCGATGTGAGCGTTGTTGAAAGTTCGCAATGGCCAAGGACAGTTGGTGACCAACACACAATTGGAAGAGACGCTGTTCGTTGTCTGTACGACAAGCATAGACTCCGAATGGAGCGCCTGAATTTGATTCCAATGAGCTCAGACGACCTACTTGAGCATTCAAATCGCCTACAAGGATCTCAACGTCAGTGCTTTTAGCTTGATGAATGAGCCCGAATAGCTCTCAATAGAAAGTCTCCTTCTCAACATCAGAACTGCAGTCCGTTGGGGCATAAGTCGACACTACAAACAGGCGGCGCTTTTTATGCCGAGTGGCATTGTGCTTGATTGAACTGGATAACCAGACGGCGTAAAGACGACTGTTCACCGGAATCCAATCCAGGAAAGCGCGTTCAGCTCTGGGCTGAGTGCAACTCCCACGCCACATATTCAACGAGTCATCGCTCCTGGGTCACCGGAGGGAGAATGTGAAAGAGCCGAGTTCATCCTTGGCGTTCTGAGATGCGTAACCACGCTCGGGTCCTGTATGCGTGTTTCGGAGACACAGCATACATCGATTTTAAGGGAGTACTGAGCTCAGACGACCTACTTGAGCATTCAAATCGCCTACAAGGATCTCAACGTCAGTGCTTTTAGCTTGATGAATGAGCCCGAATAGCTCTCAATAGAAAGTCTCCTTCTCAACATCAGAACTGCAGTCCGTTGGGGCATAAGTCGACACTACAAACAAGCGGCGCTTTTTATGCCGAGTGGCATTGTGCTTGATTGAACTGGATAACCAGACGGCGTAAAGACGACTGTTCACCGGAATCCAATCCAGGAAAGCGCGTTCAGCTCTGGGCTGAGTGCAACTCCCACGCCACATATTCAACGAGTCATCGCTCCTGGGTCACCGGAGGGAGAATGTGAAAGAGCCGAGTTCATCCTTGGCCTTCTGAGGTGCGTAGTCACGCTTGGGTCTTGTATGCATGTCTCGGAGACACAGCATACGTCAATTTTAAGGGAGTATAAAGTTTCAGCAAGCATTGCCTGCTTGCCAATTTGACACAGAGTGCGGACGTTGAGAACCCCCATGCAGAAAGGATTTCGTGCATTTAGAAGGGTTTTGTTTTGTTTATTGTTAGTAGGCAGCAGCGTGCATAAGTCAGATAACTGGCAGTCAAATGACCCAGAAACGTTTGCTTGTGTGGTGGGAAGGGGGCAAAATATGGACATCGGTGGACACAGAACTGTGCGGGCAAATGGTGCGTCCCGGTTGCCCAGGCCGAGGAATGGGGTTTTGTTGAGGAACTCCACCTTGGGGCTTTGATTCAAAAGTGTGACCCACAGGACAGTAGGACGATGTAGGGTTTTGTTCGGGGACCCTACCCTTTGACTCTGACTTAGGAGTCTGACCGACGAGGTAGTGGGAGGATGTAGGGTTTTTTTGGATCCGGCCCGGAGACGGTACCTCAATAGTCTGACCTGCTCGGCTGCAGGGGGTTGGCATAACCCGAGGACCCAGAGACTAAGGCATTACTGTCTCATTCCTGATGTGGCTGCGCGTAGCAGGTGACTTTTGAACAGCACCGGACTCTTTGGTTTCAAAATTATTTCGAACACATTGAGTAATGCGCCGGTGGTCACGATCAACCGTTGAGCGATCGGAGTGCGCGGTTTTTAGGGCTGACATTTTCTCACCTTTTCTTCCTGGGAGGAAGGCAGCATCGCTGCTTCCATAAATATGGACATGCTGGTCGCCTATGGGAAGCACACACACTTCACACTCCTATCGCAGAGAACAGTACTATTTTACTCCCAGACTGCTTCGTAGAGCGGTTACTCACCGTAGTACGGAGTATCGCTGCTCCTGGTCTAACTGCTCCCCTTTTGCCTTCCTGGTTTGGTTTCACGAAGTTCCAACCGGGATCGTCACAGCACTCAAGGCCGAGCACCACATGAAGGTGGCCAATTTAAGTTGCTGGCTCTGTGATGTAGTAGTGTATGTTGCTTGGCGTGTAGAAAGCTCTCAACAACGGCCGGACTTATATGTGGCCGGATGTACATACCAGCGACTAACAGGATGCGGTCAATTTCCGCGCATTGTCTACTACTCATAACCGTCTAGTTACAGTGTAGCTGAGTTCTTCACCAAGACTGCAACATATAACTTATTTCTTATAAAAATACTTTTACGAGGACATTTCACCGTCGTCATCATCATCGGCAGCATAACATCTGTGTTGGAAACTGATGTTCCGCTGCCGTGGAACCATAATTTATTTAAAAACCTTATTTTGAAGAAAAGAAGGGACTTAGTGTTTGTCTATCACAATCATTCCCAGATGCCTACATCCCCAGACATTTCCCTGGATGCTAGGCAGCGTGAGGTTTGGGGTGTTTCGGTTGAGATTTCGTGCTGTGATGAAAAACCGACTGTTTCATCATTGTCGAGATGATTGATGATGGTTCCCGATAAGAATAAAACAGCTTTACCGTTGTTCCCGGGTTTACAGCATAGAGTAGCTTCATTTACTTGGCAAAACCCCGATTGATATTTCAATTTAATTGATGCTAGACGACGGTTACTGGACCGGGGCGAGATAGCTTAGTGCTTAGTGCGTGAATTTACTGACCAGAATTCCGTGGTTCGGACCCGACCTCTGTATCTCGACTCCCCCTGTCTAGGCTTGGGAAATCTGGCAGTATCCCAGCCCTCGTGCTTCCTTCAGGTGGTATGACAGCTAGGCACCGGAAGGGTGTTACAGCCGGACGATTATTATTATTATTATTATTATTATTATTATTATTATTTTCGTCAAAGTATTTTTATTCGACTTCATTAATATAAATTTGCTGGAAACTGTCTGACAACCCTTTGCCGGCATCACTCTTCATGACTCCCCTCAGGCGGATTGCCTGTGTGCAGCACATTCAGTTGAAGTTTGTCGTGGACGAGAGATTCCGTTTCATCTCCCGATTACACTGTGTTGCGCAAATAAACCCGCAACTTCCTACTTACAATTTGATATTCATTAAGGAAATAAAGTTGATGAAAACTCGGGTACTCTTCCTCCTATAGCTACGAAACCGGTGGTAGATTTTCGGTAGATTCTCAGCACCTTTACACAGGTAGTTTTGAGTAAGTCGATTCTGTACTGTTCGTTCAGTTTGCACCGATGTGAATGTAAATACACGACTACACGACAAAGTGAACCCGCAAGTCCACTAGTTAGGTTAGTGAATTTCACAGTTATAGGAGGACAACAACAGTCGTTGGAACGGACAGGCGTCTGTAGTACGTGATCACATCTCCCGTACCTGCTACGCGACAGCTTTTTTAGTCCTGTCATACTTGGATAAATATGAGTCCACTTCAGGTGTAATACAAGGGCTGGGATACCGTTTGGTCACCCATGCCCACACAGGAGCCCACTGGTCAGCTGTGGGTTCGAACCATGAGCCTTCTTGTCAGTCAATGAGTTCGCGCCTTAACCACTGTGCCGTCTCGAGCTTGGTCATAGTTGAAGATTTATACCTAGGCACCATTGAACGATCCCCGTCGAAAGTAACGTTCTCACTTAACTTTGAATGGCTGAAGACCCCAGCCGAACATTTTTTTCACTTCAAAATTCATCTCTGTTGAAATCGTGTGGGCTGTTCGTGAACCCTGTCGGTATGATTTAGTGCAGAAAACTTGCTTTCTCCCGATAGTGTATAAGAGACGTACGGTTTGTGTCCCATTATAATTCCAAAACGGACTGTACTTATGCCACTTTGTCATTTGTTCTGTAAGATCATCTTTCTGTAATGTCTTCCATCCATCTTCAGACCCCGTGCACCGTGGTAGCAAAGCCAATGCGGACATCTACGGCAGAAGAACAGACATCTCCTGTGCCGATGACAGTCGTGCGTCGTGAACCCATAGCCACCGTGGTCAAACTTCCCGCGAAACGTGAAGTGCGTATGGGCAATTTGATTTCAAAGGATGGGGCACCCTCTCCTACCACCGACAGTGAGGTGGATCAGCCGGAAACCGTCCTTCGCCCGTCCAGAGCTAAACTGGCACCTACGTCAGTTCCGTGTAGCGTCACGTTAGATGTACTAGATTTTTCAACAATTACTCCAGCTTCCAGTCGTCAGCGACGTAGACGTGTTCTATCCAAACTGGATTCTCTCAGGTAAAGAACTCAGTACTGCTTTTGTATGCGTTTGATTCTTTTGCCTGGTAAGTAGGTTTGAATATCAGCCTCGTGTCATTCGAACCGTTGTTCCGGTGCAGTGAGGTTTCAAGTACGATCTTGCCTACATACAATGCCTCCCCCCTCGAAAAGAGATCACCCGAAAGTAGATTTTTTGGGGGCTTGGAAGTAAACAGGACTTCTTTGACCTGAAGCCATCGTACCATGGTTTCTCAGTAACAGGAAATTCCAAATCGAACTGAGTCTCCATGATCTTCTTCCAAAGATTTAGCCGCCGCTCAATGAACTGGCTTGCTTCTATTATTGTTTGTTTACAATGCACGAGTATTGTATAGTGCTCATACATATATGCACTTTATACATGTCCTTATCATAAAATGAGGGTGAAACTGCCTAGCTCATGGAACGAAATACGGGTCACTTTTGCCCGCTTCTTTTCAACCACTGATGTTTGAATTATATTCAGTACAAGTACCGAAGGGATATTCATCTGAATCCCAGCTGAACCACTCATCTGTGATGTTCTTCAGCTGAATGTGCTGCACACAGGCCGCCTCATGTTTCAGTTGGTATGATATTCGAGATATCGCACGGTATTTTCATAAAGGAAACTACTCACAAGGTTGCTAAAAACTCTTCGATAGCCCACGACCGGTTTCGCCCTTCTTGGGGCTCATCAGGTTGGCGCAGTCCCCAAGGTTCGTTGAACCATATATTTTACGTGAAACGAAATTGCGCGGAATTCGACAACTGCGGTCATTTGCATAAAATTTTGGTTTTCTGGGACTGCGTCTGCCTGATAAACCCGAAGAATGGTGAGTCCGGTCGTGGACTGTCGAGTTTCTAGCAACCTTATGGGTAGTGTGTTACGTTTCCTCGTTTTCTTATTTCTGCGGCCTAAGTGGTTATAGCGCAAACTTACTGCCCGGAAGATCTGTGGATCGAACGCTTCCCCAAAATCTCGACTGCTTCTGTCTAGATGTGGGCAACTCCATCAATGGTGCAACATTTGTACGACTGCTTAGATCGACCCGTCAAGTCTGGTTTTCAGATATCTTGCATCCAGTCTATCAGGTCGCGAAGCGACTGTACTCTGTCGCGTCCTGATCGTTTGCATTCGGTTGGCTCTCTCGGAGGATACCGACTCGGCTTTTCAACGTAGATTGGCCTCACTTACAGGTGGAAATCTCAATGTACTATTAACACGTTTCCTCACGCCTTTCTAAATCTATAAGTAGCTCAGAGGAAGAATACTTTCACACAATGAGTGAAACTCCCATTTGAGATTCGTCACTCGTGGAGCCTGTCAACATGTGACCACGTGATATGGATCCAGTGATTGACGGATGGGCGGCGCGATATTCCGTCTGAGTGCGATTTGATCATGTTACTGATCAGCCGCTCGTATCTGGATGTTCGCTTGTTCAAGCTACTAACCCGGAGGTCGAAGTTTCATGCTGTACACGCTGTTGATGATTCCGAATAAAGCTGGAACAGCTATACATTGCTTAATAAGCCTTTCAGCATAGCTTGGCTTCACTTACAGCACGAAGTCTCAATAGGTCAATGCTGGTATCTCCGAGTTCACGCGTCGCAGACGAAACAACCGTATTAGCAACGTCATCAGTATGGACAGGTAGACTTAGGACATGGGATGGGGCAATTGGACAACGTAATAAACAGCCTGCACTTGGCGTCGGGTGGGGCTTGTTTATTACGTTCAAAAAACGGACTACTCATGAGTAGTCGAAGAAGAATTCTGTTTTGTGGTCACGAAATGCCGATTCGAAGGGACGCCTTCTCTCACTTGATAACTACTATTTCATCTGTTCCATATTTCAGCCCGTCACTCTGAGGCGTAGGTACATATTCAACTGTGCGTTTCTTCTGGCATCTACGATCTCGCTTTGGCTGTTCGGGCCTTGTTCTGTTTTCGTTGCAGCCTTCTGCCTGCGTTCTCTTGTCCGCCCACCGTAAATACTTGATCGTTCAGCGGACACGCGGCAGCTGCCGCCCACCGGTGTGTTGGACGAGATAAACGTCCGACAGGATTGTATTACTCATAAGGTTGCTGAAAATCCGTTGATTGGGACAATAAAATTTGGAGCGGGAATAAATAGACCCCTTGCCAGACGGGACATATATTCAGTTTTGGACACAGACCCAGTGGAATAAGTTGATCGCGAGTATTGTGTCTGAACGGGCTTTCGCATGGGAGTGTGGCACACCGATTCTTGATGCGCGGTTCGGTTGGCTATCGACCAGTAAGGTGCTGCAAGCTCCCATCTGAGTATTCGCCATTTATTCTTCTGCTATGTATGGCAGTGATGCTCAAGTCTACTCAAACACTACCGAATCACGCCTCACCCAGAAGTTATGAGATGTTGGTGCAGTGCACCTCGCCTGTTTTGCTGAGCGAACTGATATGCACATGACCGGTTCTAAAATCCTCAGTTGATAGTGCTCACGTCAGCTTGCACACCAACTGCGAAGTACCATGCATTTTAAACAGGTGGAGGACCGTCTGACTGTTCCATCCTGCCTGATTAGCATAGATTAGTGTGGGTGTAGAGTGTGGAAAAACATGTCGGTAGAACAGAAGGATATCTATTGGATCGCATTTTTGAACAGCTATGGTGATTCCAACTGATCGCTAAGGTTCAAAGTCGTGGGACGGGTTTGAGTTTCAACGACTGGACATTCTTTTAAAGTTTTCTTTGCCAACCTTTGGTGTCCATACTCTTTAGACGCGACTCGGACGTCAAATTTTTCCTGCTTCATCACCCTTATTCTCCGCTGTGTGCAGTTTCTTTGTACAGATACGGAACAACGGGGTTTTACAGTGAGGTTTAGCCGCGTCATTTGGGTTAGATAAAATTGAGACTTTCACTTGTCATTGACGGATGGTTACCATCCTCTTAATATGTGTAACCGGGCTGTTGCTGTCGGAATTCCCTCGTTCTATTTCCTTGGACATGACGGTACATGTTGGGTGTGGCAGATCCCATTAGCAACTTCCCAACGCTTATTGACAATTCACTGAAGACAAGGCTATTTGTAGTGTGATGTGAGTGACCCTTGTCTGAATGATTTGGCCTTATTTCCGCCACTAGGACCGAATTGTATCGTTCAGGTGTAACGCCATTTCCTGAAAAGAACCACAAGGCCTGAGATACTGCCAGATTGCCCGAGTTCAGACAGGAGCAGTCGAGATGCCGGGAATGTGTTCGAACAACGGACCTTCCAATCGGCTGTCGCGATTTCGTGACTAGGACCAGCAGGTGGCTGATGACTCATTAGATAATTTCACCCTTTTTTTTCTTGCAATATGCGCATTCCAACAACGTTGCCACAATGGTCCGTTGATTGCATTGTTAGTTTTCTTGACCGGCCAGAATATGTTGCCCGTGTTCGTAGACTCAGACAATCAGTTACATCATATGCAAGCTACGTATAACACCGGGGATTTCCAACCCGTCACTTCAGTTATACATATTTTTCTACTGTCTAGCCAGGATGCGGAACCTATTGCTGCTCGTCTGCGGCGGAATGCTACTCAGGTATCTTATCTGGAACCACGGATGACCAGGTGAGTTCATAGCTAGCGGAATACGTTGCAATTTTTTCTGTTCCATCTGACTGCTGCCCGCTGCCGAAAAAAGACTAATCGATAAGGAACACAACAACTTTATTGCGAACAAGCGAGTGAATGCGAAAAGTACAACGACCTTGCGCTCCACGCTCAGGTGGCACTGTCTGAATTTGATCCTTGGCTATCTCGCGGTACATTTTGAAGGACATTGTCTGACCTCGCTCCAAGGCTGTGTCTGATCGGCGTTTAGTGGGGTTTCGATGGTCTCAGTAGATTTTGGGTATTCTGGGATAATCTTCAGTAATCTGAACTTCCGGACAAATTTGGCAAACTAGTGGCTGTATGTGAACTTGGTCGAATGCGGTCAGTAGCCATCATCATCAGCTGTAAACAAATGGCGTATTTGCCATTCACAGTTTCTTCCGCCGATGATTTGCAGAGGCAATGTAGATAGTTGCGTATTGGAAGCGGTAGTTGACATAATTGATGCCTTAATACAGGGTATCAGTGGAATTTTCATTGGTAAGATCACCGGGGAGCTATGCATTGAAGGCAACAGCTTGGATACGCCTTTGAGGGCGGCACCGGATTATGTGTGACTCGGTCTCTAACAATTTATGTGTCCTATGTAGGGAGACGTCAATGACTACTACAGCTGAGTTTGTTGGTAATGCATTTCATAGTTCGCTGTCAAGTCATTGTGGTGGTTAGAGCGCGAATTTACTGACCAGGAGGTTCTTGGTTCGAGTCCGAATTCTGCACCTGGACTTCCTTTGTTTAGGCTTGGGCAACCTGGCAGTATCCCAGCCCTCGTGCTTCCTTCTGGTGGCATGGCATTTGGGCACCGGAAGCGTGCTACAGCTGAGCATCTGGCACTGTCGTAGTATTAGTGACTCGGTTAAGTTTGTTGATCAGATGGCTGTGGCTTTGTTCACCGAGCTTAACAAACATCCTTTCGGTGCCTAGCTGCCATGCCATCCGAAAGAGGGGTTGGGATACTGCCGGGTTGGCCAAGCCTAGACAGTGGAAGTCGAGAGCCAGAGGTCGGGTTTGAACCACGGACCTTCCGGTCAGTAAATTCGCGCTACAACGACTGAGGCCCCGCAAACGACGAAAGAACTGAATGTATAGTTGAGGATGCCTCTTCGTTTGATGACGAAATTCATGTTTGCAAGGTAATTTCCAAGCCTTGCGTATTACGGAGTAACTAGTAGAAAATATATTTTTCGTTCCAAGCTCTGTTTCACAGCCCTTAGCCTTTACGACTGGGGGTAGACGAAATTTGAGCTGATCCAGACATTCGCTTCTTCTGGATACTGAAATACATCTTTGGAACGGCTCTGTGTCCCATTTTGGTCGATACGTTCATACCTGTTGAGTCCCAGATATGGAACCCTGAGTCACGAGTGTGTTAGGTGATTCCTAACATCAGATTTATTGAGGACCAAGCAGGCGTACACTACAAATATCCGTGTTCGTGGGGCCGATAACAAGAACACGCGTCTCGGTGACTGACCGGCACGGCACAATGTCAAGCCCTGCACACCAGAATGGTGATACGGGTTACTGGTTGCCTACTGCAACACCATCCTCATGACTCGAATTGGTGATGCGGCTACCGGGGTGTCATGTCGCGCCGAGTAGGCAGAGGATAAATGATAATGGGCGGATAAGTATCCTGATGCGCACACAGACAAGCATACCATGATTGGATAAGACGGTTAGTGGTAAAGTCGATGGTACAAGAACGCAGGTTGACTACCTAACTGATTAGGAGGCTACCAGTCTGTCAAGTTGACCAAGTAGCAATGGGATTTTATTCTTTCCCCACCTGTGACTATATTCATTCAACTTGTTGTACATTCTCCACTTCCAATTGTTTAGAACTGTTGGGCGTCGAAACTAATCGTCGTTATGGCATCAGATTTCCCCACTATTTTCGTCAATCCAGCTGTTTATGAATTGTTGTCCTATGGAACCGAAAACAGAATTCAGAACTGAACTGTTTCACACCTGTCGCGCTCGTCTCCGACAGCTTCACCAGATACATCATACATTGCTTCATTTTCCCTTCGTATGTACCTTAAAACCACTGATTGTTGTTCGCGCGGTTTGTTCTTTTTCTGAGCTCGGTGTACTTCAGTCGGTACACTATGTTCTGTCGGCAGGGGCTTTTCGTTTTAAGGGTCGTAGTAGCCCGGAAGGTCCGTGGTTCGAATCCAACCCAGGCATCTCGGCTTTGGTAACTTTGTAGTATCTCAGCCTTCGTTCTTCCTTCGGGTGTTAGGTCTGAAAGATGACCCGTGGCTGTGGTTGACACCAGGGATATTGGAAGAACGTGGGGCGAGATGCCCCAAGTGGTTAGAGCGCGAATTTACTGACCGGAAGGTCCGCGGTTCGAACTCGATATCTGTCTGTTGGCTTCCCCTACTTAGGCTTGAGCAACCTGGCAGTATCCTAGCCAGGCATGGCAGTTAGGCACCGAAAGGGTGCGACAGCTAAACGTATATCGGAAGAAATGACGTCACGTCTGAATATGCTGTAATAGTTTGCATCACCTGTACCTGTGATCACTTGATAAGAGTAATGAACCAGAAGGTTCTGAGTGGTCGCACAAGCGTGAACCTTGTCACTGTTTTTTTCCCACTCAACTGAAACCTGGATGAAGGCAGGATGATGGATGATTGGCGAGCAACAATGTCGGCACTCCCAGTCATCGGTAGACTCCAGGCTGAACTGTTTACACTGCCTGAATTACAGTTTCTCGTAGGTTAATCCCCTGTATCCTAGATTAACAGAAGCCGTCTTATTTACACTAGGACAGTAGACTAATTACCATCTTTCGAGAACGCAGAGACGTTGAGTCCCTTTATCCACTTGAATAGTACAGCAAGACAAAGACTGTGCGACCAAACAATTTCTTTGGTCAGATGACTAATCGACGGGCCAATGGCCTGTAGTCTGAGACCACAGAACCTGTCTCATCGGTCGGGCGTGGAGTTGACCTCGTGATAGCGTCCAAAATTTCACTGCGCAATGTCGTTTCGAAATTGTTGGCTTTCAGTGAGGCCATTGTTAACCAATCAATACCGACCCACCGTGTGAGCACAGAAGACTTTGACGCAAGCCATCAACTTGCCAGGCCTGAGTGGCTCGTTTCCACCATTCTGTTTGTCATTTATCCCTATTTGTCATGTAAAATTTGATGGTTTTTAGTTTTACGACAGAGTTTATGAAAGCAAAATAGCGGCGTTCCTGAGTCTTTGTCGTAGTCCTGTCATTCTGATAACTTTCTGTCAGTTACCACGCCATAAACTGTCTCTGGATGCAATAGAGCGTATGTTGACGCTCTTTATCAAGCGAGAGGTCGCGGGCACGACCATCGCTTCAGAGTCGATTTTTGTACGCAGCGTCCACCTTTGAGAGTTTTTGAATAGATGAAGGGCTTGGTGAGAATGGACTTCAGAGCGTGACGCAGAGTGGTAGGCTGCACCGTCGCACCTGACTGCATCCTAGGGAGAGCGACCAGTCGGTTAGTCTGCACTTGGTCTATTCACCGAGTTTGGCGATTGGCTCGCAAACATTTCGCCAATCCGTACCGGCGATGTCTTCTCCTTTGGCGAAGAAACGTTCGCATTGCGAACAGCTCACCTTCCACCTGACCAACAGCCGCTGAATGTATCTGGACTGCCCATCTCAAAAAACGTTGCCAGACCATGGTTGGTGGTTTGGCTACCGGGGAGATGATTACACCAGCTACGATCAACGGTGCCACAGGTACTCATTTTAACCCGACATGATCAAGGTTAGTACAAACTGTGAAATTGACGGTTTCTAGAGGCCATCAATGTGATTTGGATGAACAAAACATTGAGAACTGACGATACGTAGTGTACTCACATACCAAATCACAACGAACATTGGAACAACAACTAGCAAATTAAAAAAATCACTATTTGGCCGTGTGGTGCTGATGATATGTTTGGTGCGCCGGTGAAGGAACGTGAGTTTCGCGGGGCCGGGGGGGAATGACCAGTGTTTGTAACTCAAATTGAGGAAACAGTTGAAAATGAGTAGATAGTAAATGCACTTCATAATTGGAGACATATAAAGCGTTAATTAATGATGATATGGATAGACAGACAATGTAGGTGTGTGTTTTGGTAGGAGTGGTCTGCTGTTACACCTTCAACCCCTTTCTAGTGATCAGTCCCCCGCACTGTTCAGGCTATGCAAGCTGGCGGCTTATTCGATACCGTGTCAGTTGGTGTTTCGAAATCCGAAAGGTCTTCGTTGATATCCGTGGCGTTTTCTGGGTCATACATGTCGTCAGCATAGACCTAGGGAAGAAAGAGACGTAACGTTTGTATGCCGTGACGGGATAAACAGAGAGCTGAGTCAAACGTGGAGAACGAACAGCGGTTGTCATGATCTCGTCTAATTGACTACCTACTACCATCATAATAAGTAGTAGGACAAAAAAGACGCAGTGCGGGGACGGTCTTGAAAATCGCTTCAGGCCCACAAGGTGAGATAACACAAGGAGACGAAGAATATCCAATCCATACAGCTCAATTAAAGGCTGACGGAGGAGGAGAGCAATACCGCGAGACAGAAAGGGTGGTATCCTCTGTGAATTCATTTATGGGGGGAGGCTGTACGTCCGAGTCCAATTCCGCAGTGTCACTCGAAAGCGAAAGCAAGCAGCTGTTATTTTCATAAGGGAAACTACTCACAAGGTTGCTGAAAACTCTTCGACAGCCCACGACCGGTTTCGCCCTTCTTGGGGCTCATCAGGCAGGCGCAGTCCAGGAGTTTCCGTCAACCTTATGTTCTCGCAAACAGCTATTATTATCATCCTTTACGCCATCAGTTAATATCGTCCTCGTTTTGTTCAGAGGCACGGCATTTCAACCGTGCAATTTCTTTTTTCCTCAAGACCATAGTATAGATGCTACTATCGTAAAAAACATCGTTCAACTGTACTGCCCTTTCGGTGCCTAACTGCCATGCCACCAGAAGGAAGCACGCGGGTTACGATACTGCCAGGTTGCCCAAGCGTAGACGGGGGAAGTCGACAGGCAGAGATCGGATTCGAACCACCGACGTTGTGATCAGTCAGTTCGCGCTCTAATCATTGAGCCATCTTGTATGAAAAGGACATCCGGGGACCGAATAAATGAAAGCTTCAGAACGTTTTGGGACACATTATTGTTCGATCGAATGTTATTTCGGATAAGAGCTGCTCACTCAGCACCGCGGTTTCAACGCAAACCACACTTTCTTCGGTTATCATTGCGGGGTAACACTAAAAATCCCGAAGAGCGAAACACTCCTTGTGAGTCAGATCGCCTGTTGGCATCCAAGTCAAATCCAATTAAATATCCTCGTTTACAAACCACATTGACTTACTTGACGGTCGTAGTAACAAAATTTCCGTTCTAGCTCCTCCACCTCTTGGGGGTTACTCGCTGGATTGACCATGATTTGGAGTGAAGAGGATTGTGGAATGACCGGAGGTGGTTGTCCTCTTTGACTTTGTCTGACAGCCATGTGGAAAGCATGTTGGCTGCTAGCTTTCCATCCATTCGGGAGTCGATATCGCATACGGAAGCCGCCGAATCGAATGGCAGTCACGGTCCCCAACACAGCCATCACGAGTAGGATGGCGAGTGCACAACCAATGAGTGCATAGGTAAGCTATGTCGGGAAGAGACAAAATCGTAGAATCAGGTAAGTAGTCTTCCAAAGAGCGACAAAATTGTCGGTTGAACAGATTGGTTTGGTAGAATCACGCTACACAGTGGACCCACGGGTCTTCGCTTTAACAATTACGAAGCACTCCGGATTATTAGTAGTTTAGGGATTCAGGGAAGATGGAGGCTAGCCATCGGTCCCAGGGATGATCACGATAGGTCAGAAATACAGACGAAACTTCAGGTTTGGACAAACTACTGCCGAAAATGGCTGACAACAAATGCCGATTTGGTTTTCACACGAGACTACGCCTACCAGATGAGCCCCAAGATGGGCGGAACCGGTCATGGGCTACCGAAGAGGTTTCGGCAACCTTGTGAGTAATTTCCCCGATGGAAGCGATTATACCTGTTTAGCTGTAACACCGTTTCGGTGGATAGTTGCCACGCCAGCCGAAGGAACCATGAGGGATGAGATTTGTATGAACACACCTGACCAATGGGAGCTTCTCACTGGGTGATATGGCTTAGTGGTTAGAGCGCGAATTTACTGACAGGAATGTCCGTGGTTCGAACCCGACCTCTGCTTCTCTCGAATTCCCCTGTCTAGGATTGGGCAACCTGGCAGCCCTCGTGCTTCCTTCTGGTGGCATGGCAATTGGGCACTAAAGGGTGCTACAGCTGAACAGTTTTTTTAAAAATATTTTTAAGCAGGTTGAAGGTGGAGAAAGCTTAAGGGGAGGTATCAGTGAATGAATTGCCGCTTGGGCTGGATGTCACAGCGGTTGTTTGGTCTTCCTATATATCTCACATATCAGCAGAATGAAATTGTGAACCATGAAGGACAGTGTTGCATGATGATTCGGCCGCTGTGAATCCTCTTTCGGTGCCGTGCTAACAGCACAATCAACGGTGCTTTCTGAGGGACGTACGTGTGTTTGAAACAAGGGGACTTCAAATGCAAGTTGGAGGATATGTTCCATCCATAGTTGATGTAATTAATATCTATTTTCAGTCAACTGGAAGATGTCTGGGACCGACTGATTAGTTCCAAGGAAGTTGGACAGAAGTCTCAGGGATTTGTTCACCAAAACTCTCTGACATGATGCTCAATACCTATGACATCTAGCAGCTTGCGTTTCACATTGTCAAATGGAATTTTAGTAGCCACCTAGTTGTTCGGTTCCCGCCTAGAGGTTTTGGCCAGTGAAGAGGGTCAGATTCCTGAAAATAATTCTAGAATGCTCGAAACCTACGGATACCGAATTCGCAGCATGGAAGCATCCGGACCAGAAAATAAAAGCTGGCGATTGGACGCCGATGGAGTCATTCAATTCAGCAAAGCCAACGATGAATGTTCACTCGAAGCCGATCGAGTGGCCTGGCTTTAAATACTGCGATGTTCCTTGTAATTCTTGCACCTGCTTATTCGCAATATTGCTCATGTGTTCTTTGTTGGTGAGTCTTTTTACGACACTAAGCTACTGTAGCAGGCGGAGCAGTGAGTTACAACATGTAGACTTCTAATCAGGCAAACACTGTTACAAGGCATCATTGATTTAATCTGGCCACCATCTATCAGCATGGATGTGTTCTAACCAGAAAATTTGGATATATTCAAGCAGACTCAACCGCGTAATGCTGTTGCTCGTGTGGATAACAGGTAGCAGTCATGATCAGCAATACTGATAACCTCCAAACATCATTGCTTGCACCTCGAGGATCGCGCTTGCCAGCTTGCGGGTAGTGAACCTCCAAACATCATTGTTTGCATCTTGAGGATCGCGCTTGCCAGCTTGCGGGTAGTAATCGGTTGGACCACTCATGTGACCTTGACACCATTCTGTACTTTCTCCGTTGTGGGCTAGACGTGAACCAGATGGAACGTGACCAAGAATTCAACTGCTATGCTGAAGCATCATCGGCAGCATAACATTAATGCTTCGCCAGCGTACAAACAAAATTAATTTGAGAGCCTTATTGTGAAGAAGAGACTAAAAGTGGGCACGGAAAGAACTTGGGGCTAGTCTACTACAACCAACCCGAGGCGCCTACATCTCCAGACATTCATTCAGGCAATCTGAACGGAGATTGACAACAAGGTCAACCTGGGAGAGAGGTATCAAGGAGATTGCAAAATGTTTGAGTGCTGTCGGTGCTACTCGCCTCCCAGGATCGGGACCTCGTGATCTTCACTGCGGCTGGTTGGAGACGTTGCGAGATATGGCAGCTAATCGAAGTCGATTGTGTTCTTGTCGCCAATTTGTATCCAGATTGCCTGAATGAGTGTCTGGAGGTGTGTGCATCTCAGAATGAATGTAGTTAGTTAGTCCCTTCCCTGTCAACCTTTATTCTTTTCTTCACAATAAGGATTTCAAGTAAATCATGGTTGTACGGCACCGAAGTGTCAGGGTTGAACTGACAACATAAACAAAGTCATTCACATCGATTAACAAACATAACTTGGGGTATTTATGACTAGACCCAGGGAGAGGATCACGCAGACCGCTGATCTGATTCGTAAGTGTTGAAATCTTGTTGACTGAGCCCGGAAAAACGGGCGTCCTCGGTAGATTACATCATGTGCACTAGTAATGACAGACAATAAGGATTTAAATCATGGTTGTACGGCACCGAAGTGTCAGGGTTGAACTGACAACATAAACAAAGTCATTCACATCGATTAACAAACATAACTTGGGGTATTTATGACTAGACCCAGGGAGAGGATCACACAGACCGCTGATCTGATTCGTAAGTGTTGAAATCTTGTTGACTGAGCCCGGAAAAACGGGCGTCCTCGGTAGATTACATCATGTGCACTAGTAATGACAGACAACTTTCAGTTGTGATACATACGACCGATTCAGTGAACTACTGACGGCCACCCGGTGGACATAATAGGTGGATGAAATTTCAGATCAAAGTTAGATTCGTTTGTGTTTTCATCATTCGTCGGCCTGCTGAGCGTTTCCAATTCGACTAGGGACCGAGGAGGCGAAAACTCTCATACCAACACGGACTATTCTTTACCTCCTTCAAGATGGGGTTCGCTGCATGGAGGGAACAATGACACATCCAGTGACCAGGCTCATGGCGGCAAATGTTGATACTATACTCTTAGCTCCCTCTAAGACCATCAGTATCATGCCGGAGACAGCTTTGGGAGAACGCCTGAAAAGGTGAAAACCACAATCTGGAGGTATTGGACCACCGGTGCAATCGTCCGGTTTCATTTTTACCAAACTCCTTGCGAACTTTCCGGCACAAAAGTGTATCTCACCAATATAGAATTAGTAATAATCAGCCAACACATGCGCCTAGAGTCCAGGTATGCATCAACACATTCAGATGCGAAACGCTGTTGGAACCCGCAACCCTGTCAAATTGCTAATTGAGATGTGACTTGAATGGATGATGTCCAAACATTAGCTACCTAATTCGGGGTAATTCGAATGTCGCCCGTAACAAGCAATCTTAAACGGAGTAAAGGAATAGGAATCTAAAATGTTCATCTCAATGACGACCATTCAAGCGAGTTCCTTGTGTGGACGATCAAATTGAATCAAAGCTCCCAGCCGACTCCAATTTAGACCGCTGTGCAATTCTGCAGCGAACATAAAACGAATATTGGACGGAGACATCGCACTGTCTGTGAAACCAACCTACGTGGAGACCGTGCACAGCTGCTTCATCCTTATTTGGAGTCGTTGGCAGTGCGCATTTCACGAAAACACAGTAGGAATTTCCGAACCTGAGATCCCCCAGTTAGCAGTTGGAGCACTTAACCATTAGGATATTAAGTAATCTGAATAATTCTGCCTTATGGTTCGACATTCCTTCACACCTGCAAATTGTAAAGTGCTACTGCAATACTGGGTGGGCTCGAACCCTAGCCTCATGCTTGCGAATGAACCGATTGATGTAGAAGACAAATTTGTTTACCTGGGCAGCTGTATCAGTCCGATTGGTCTCGCGAAAGATGATATTTTCATCCGGATTGGGAAGGCCAGAGCAGCTTTTGCGAACCTACGTCACCTGTGGCGTAGGCGTGACAGCTTCTCTGTCAAGGGTCGAGTTTACAATGCTGCGGTGCGCTCCATATTACTATAT